CACAGCAAAACCTTTCTCCAGACATTACCAACATCCTCATGGCTTCCTGGAGGAAAGGAACTCAAAAACAGTACAAAACCTATCTGGAAAAATGGCTGGCATTTTGTTGTGAAAGGAAAATCGATCATAGTTCTCCCCAGATAAGTGAAGCTCTTCAATTCCTAATGTATTTATACAATCAAGGATTCAGTTACTCCACAATAAACACTGCAAGATCTGCCTTGTCATCAATCCTCAATATTAGAGGTTCCCACCCCTTCAGCTCTCATCCACTAGTCACCCAGTTCTTAAAGGGAATATACGAGACATGGAAACCACAATCCAAATACAAAAAATCTGGGATGTTGCTACAGTACTTAAATACCTCAAGTCTCTATGGCCATTCGAACAGCTCTCTTTAAAGGATTTAACGATAAAGCTACTTATACTATTCGTGCTCGTTACGGGGCAACAAAGACAATCCATCCACCTGTTGAACCTGGACGGCATTAACATGTCATCTCAGTCATGTAGTTTTGAACTCTTAGATCATATTAAGACCAGTAAACCCAATAAGAGGGAAAGTAGCATTGATATAGGCAGTTATCAGCCTGATAATACTCTCTGTCCTCTCCTGACACTGGAAGAGTACCTGTCATCTCACAATGCGTAAGCTTGTCCGTTTACACAACAGCTCTATAAGACTCACCTGTTGAAACTCTCTTGTGGTAATCATGCTGAAAGTTTCCAATTACATGCGAACACGAGTCGAGCTTCTTTACAAGCAAGATCTCCATCCAGCTGAGATATTTAAATTGCTAAAAGGACAAGGCTTACTTGTCAGTTTTGCCAGTGTAACACGAATAAAAAAACTTTGACTCACCGGCTCCGTAGCATATCTACCATGTTCTGGAAGACCCACCAAGCTATGTGTAGATATTTTATAGATCAGCTAATGCGAAGCAATGATGAGATGACGAGCGCTCAGATCCAGAAGGCGCTGGCAAAACGTGGCGTTGCAGTGAGTTCGTCCGCAGTGCGAAGATCTCGCAAGCAACAAGGCTGGATGCTTCAGCGGAATGCTTACTGTCAGATGATATGCGAAGCCAACAAAGTAAAGAGATTGGAGTATGCTCAGCACATCACAGAGAGTGGCGATACTTTTCACAACATCATTTTTAGTGACAAGTGTTCCATCTGCAACACGGTTGAACACATTTGTGGGACACCATCCCACAAAGATTTGCATCTTCAAAGAAAAAATATCAACTGGTGGCATATCCTTCCAGAGAGTCCAGATTTCAACCCTATAGAAGACTTGTAGCATGAACTCAAGTTCTTCTTGGAATCAAAGGTGAAGCCACGCAACAAGCAAGAACTGGTGGATGGTATCAAGAAGTTCTGGAGGAAAAAAGTCACACCGAAGAAGTGTGGAAAATACATTGATCACGTATTGCACAAGGCAATTCCAGCTGTGGTTGAGGCTCAAGGCACTGCAACAAAACATAAAAACAACGGCTCTTTTAGGAGCCACAGTGCCCTGCTTTGTCGAATTCAGATTCAACATTGCTCTGTAGGTTGCTAAAAACAGCTCTTTTAGGAGCCACCACACCTGATAAAAGTCAATGACCAACAATAGATCCTCGCATTACGTCCATTTTTTCAATATGAAATAAGGTAATACTATGAGCCTTCCATTATACTATATGAGCATCCCATTGTATTAAACATGTTCCGTGTTTCTCTTGAGTTATAGGAACACAACTGGAAGTTAGGGAGAACAAGAAATACAGTGGGAAGGCAAGAATTTCAACAGCTTTTTCGAGTTGTTTCCAAACTTTCACTTGTGTTTTTATAACTCGATAGAAACAAAGGGAGATCTTTTTATCATTATTATTACTTCTTTAAGAAAACACTGCAATGAATAAAAAAACAAAATCACTTGTTTATTTTGATCATCAAAATGTAATACATTTATGGACTTATTGCGTGTTTACATTTGTTTTAAGACCACTTACGAAAAAAACTACAAAACAAGTTATTTCTTTGATTTAGATTCATGGAAACAATGCTCAGTTTATTTTTTCCAAAAAAAACTAAGAATGACCAAAAATTGTATACATGTTATTAAAGTCATTAAGGGCGTCAAATTAGTGTGTGAAGTGCATTCGACGATGATTGTTTATCTGTAAAAAACGGAGAACTGAGAAATAAAGTTCCACTGTTTTTTCTTTCTCATTTATTATTTCCTAACAAATGCATGCACAAAGTTCAGTCAAGAGGCTCATTACCTTTCGTCAGAAACTGAACATTTCGTTTCCGGCATTTATGTTCCAAAACAGTTATTTGTCTTGCAAAAGTTGGAAGATAAAATAGTGTTTTCATGAAGGCGGTTCATCCAAGTTGATGGCATTGTGTTTTTTTCAATTCCACTCTCAAAGGAAAACAAAGGCCTTTATCACAGACTTATCACGCGTTTACATTCGTACTAAGACCACTTGGAAAAAAATACAAAACAAAAGTTATTTCTTTGACTAGAATATCAATAGGTTTGTGGAAACAACACTCAATTTTTTTCCAAAAAAATTAGTATGACCAAAATTTGTATACCTGTTGTTAAAGTCATCAAGAGCGTCAAATTAACATGTAAAGTGCATTCGGTGAATGATCATTTATCTGTAAAAAGCGTAGAAGTGAGAAATGAAGTTCCACTGTTTTCTCTTTCTCATTTATTATTTCCGAACAAATGTGTGCACAAAGTTCAGCTTTTAAATGTTCCTCAAGAAGCTCATTACCTTTTGTCAGAAAATGAACACTTCGCTCGCGGCTTTTACGTTCCGAAACAGTTAAGAGCAAATATGTCCAAAAATCAAACATTTTCAAAATATC